AGCATCCAGGGGCATTCCCTTTTCGTTCAATTATTGAAGGTGATGTCTTGATCATTCTGGCACAGACATAGCTATTTCAGAATACAGTCGGGCAAGGACGGCAGGCAGTCCCACGCCGTCCAGGGTTGACCCACATCAGCAGGCCTCACGCGACCTAGCCAGAGTGCTTTGTAGCGCCCTGGGACTGGGACTTTGCAATAAAGATGCTTCATTATAATAGACATTAAAGTGTTTCTTACTACAAAACACTGAAATGGCAGTTGGAACAAGGACAAATATGTGATCCAGAGCCTGGACAAACGTCACTTAAAGAAAATGATTTCGAGGAACAAATGTGTTTTTGCACGGGTTGTTTCATTTGAGTCCTGTCAAGAGATGGTGCTGACATCACATTGCATTTGGTCTCATCACATCATTAGCCACGAAGAGTTTTTCGTTGTCGAAAATGAAAAACGTCTTAAAATCACCATCCTGGTAATAGATGCTGACGTGACCTCTAATAAACCCTCAAACCTCACCATTTCATCCCAGGGCTGGGATTTCCCTTTGCATGCGTGTGAAAAAAGTCTTTGTTAACTCACGGTTCCTGCTTTGGCTCAGAGCTCATCATCTCTTGATGGATTACTGCAATAATGTCCTCACGTAACTAGTTTCTCTTTCTCCTGCCTCTTCCCTGACTCAGTCTTTTCTCTACACCATTGAATTTCCTCTTTGAAAGGCAGAACTGATGGTGTCCCTCCTCTACCTAAAACTCTTTATTAGTTCCCGTCACTTGTAGGAGAATACAGAACAAGACCCAGCTGTGTCTGTTTTTCCCTCTGCCAGGAATGTCTTTCATCAGCTTGCGTAATTTCCATTTATTTTTAATTCCTGGCTTGTGTCACATGCTCTGTGATGTTCTCTCCGATCCCCTGAGACGGTGTTAATCATTCCCTCTTCTTTGTTACCTTGTACCTACATGTGTTTTGCACCTGTCACACTGTGTAATCTAGGATAATTATTTACTTGTAGAACTATCTTCTTCCTTAAGGAGAAGAATCACATCTTTTTTATCTTTGTGTACTCAGCACCTAGCACAGTGTTGGGATATAGTGGGGCTTCAGCAAATGTTTTGTCATATTAAGTGCAGTGTTTTCAGAATTAGTAGTATTCATTTGCAAAACTAAATCCATGGGCTGGGCATGGTGGCTCATGCCTGTAATCCTAGCACTCTGGGAGGCCAAGGTGGATAGATCGCTCAAGGTCAGGAATTCGAGTTCAAAACCAGCCTGAGCAAGAGTGAGACCCCCGTCTCTACTGTAAATAGAAAGAAATTAATTGGCCATCTAAAAATATATATAGAAAAATTAGCCAGGCATGGTGGTACATGCCTATAGTCCCAGCTACTCGGGAGGCTGAGGCAGGGGGATTGCTTGAGGCCAGGAGTCTGAGGTTGCTGTGAGCTAGGCTGACGCCACGACGCTCTAGCCTGGGCAACAGAGTGAGACTGTGTCTCAAAAATAAAATAAAATAAAACCTAAGTCAATGGCCTAATAAAGCTCTGTTTTCAGTATTTAGGCAACCTGGGATGCTGGGAATGGCATGCTACAAACCAGCTGTGTGATCTGGTGCTGAGACAGTGTGGTCCCCATCCCTGGGGACAGTGCGGGGCACGTGGGGGAGAATCTCTATTTGTGGTACAGGTTGAATTGTGTTCCCCCAGATTTATGTATTGATGTCCTTAGAATGTGACCTTATTTGGAGCTAAGTTCTTAACAGAGGCAATCAAGTTCAAATGAGGTCATTGGGGTGGTGTTATGGGCTGAATCGTCTCACCACAAAATTCATATGTTGAAGGCCTAACCCCCATTCTCTCAGAATGTGACTGTATTTGGAGATAGGATCTTCAAAGAGATGATTAAGTTAAAATGAGGCCATTAGAGTGGGCCCTAATCTAATCTCACTAGTGTCCTTTTAAGAAGAGGAAATTTGGACCCACAAAGAGACACTGGGCAGCGTGGGAAAGCAGCCCGACAGATCCAGTAAGTGGACAGGGGGGCGACCCTTGCCGTGAAATGGCTGGGAGAGGCGATATCAGTGTGTCAGGGTCATCAGAGAACTGCCAGGTACAGCCTGAAGGCCAGGTGGGATTTTCCCCCCTGGCAGTGCATCTGGGAATACTCCAGGGGAGTCTCTGTGTCAGGAGGTGCTATGTGGAAGGGCATAACTTGTCTGGATTCCCCCGTCACCTCATCCATGGCCATGTGGGAAAGCCCTCCACATGAACACCACGGCTGCTGTGGGAAGGAGTTTCTCTGGAATGACTCCTGCTTCCCCTCAGTGGATGCGGACAGCAGAATGTCAGGGCATAAGCAATGCCTTGCAAGGCCAGCACCCTGGTCCTTCTATCCCCGAACCCGTCTGAGTCTGGGCACAAGATCTGTTGGTGAAAAGGACCAGTGTTCTATCCTGTATCCAACTGGTTAGATGTGTGTACTTTATCAGTTCTCTCTTCTTTTTGGTAACAGAATAATGATGCTTTTCTTTATAGA